CCACTTCCCCATGGATATAAAAGGAAAATTAATAAGACCAAGAACTATTAAGATAAAATCAAAGAAAACTCAGATGAGTGTGTATAAATAAATGTGTACATGTATGTGTAGTGTGACCTAAGTGTAAGTAGAAGTAGCAAGACATGCCTGTAATCTTGCATATTTATGAGACAGACAAAAGACATCAGCAATCCTACCATCATGTAAAACAATCACAGGCTTTCGTTTTACACTCACTTGGCAGGACGGTAGTACCTCCCTGGGTGGTTGCTGTCTACCAACCTACGCTTAATCACGTCCATCAGCCATGTTGGAAGACTTTCACACAAATTCTTGAGGGTTTGGGGGTTATATTATTCCATACCTCATGTAGAGCTGTGGGATGGAACTCATATCCTTGCCCAGTAAACTTCATTTCACTATTGACCATAGGTTCTCAATAGGGTTTAGGTCTGGGGAATTGCCTGGCCAGTCATTAAGGAACCTCACTTCACAGACCTTAAGCCGCTGAACTACAGATTTGGCAGAATGACATGGTGCACCATCCTGCATAAAAACCGTAGCCCCACACTTGCCAAACACCTCGGGTAAATTGTCACACAGTAACTCCAGGTAATTATACTGGTTCATGTACTGGTTTTTGGGAAGCACGATGAGTTCACCAACACTCTGAGCACTGAAACACTCCCAAACCATGAGCGAGTCTGGGTGTTTGGTGGTCCCACAGGTGTAGCGTGGGTCTAGCGGGTCACAAACTTCTGGGCTGGTACAGTTACAGGTGACAGTGAAGTTTGCTTCACCACTCCAAAGTATTTCAAACCACTGTTGAGGATTCCAGTGAAGATATTTCTTTGCATAATCTAGCCTATGTTTCTTCTGTGGCTTGGAGAGGATCGGTTTCTGCTGTAGCCCAGTTCTGACAGACACCTTTGAGAGAAGATGTAGGTTCCTTTCTTTCAGTTCTCTAGCATTTATCTTCGGTGTACTCTCTTAATTGCTGCTTTAACACAGTTAAGGTATGAATAGACAGATGTCTTCTTCGAGGGGCCAGGCCAAGGTTTGGCAGACGGTAACTCGACACCACCATCAGCCTTGAAACGGTGCATCCAGTTCCTCACTGAATTTTCACACACACCAACATTTCTTTCGTCTGGTGCCCAGCTTAGTGAAGCCCTATGATTTGAGCTATAGTTTCAAGTGTTAAAGACTTCGTTTTACCCATAATCAAACATGTATAACTCCAAAACCAAAGGAAACACCAGACAAAAGTTTTGGCAGATGAGAGACAAAGGTGCAACACTTCTCTCACTGTGACAGCCACGTGAGCACCGAGGAGTCACTGTGGAGTGTGGTGGCAGGCCATAACGTCATGCTAACGGCCGCTACCCGGCATAATGCCCTGACGAAAAAGACCCCCCTGTATGGTAGGCCTTTAATTTTCGTCACGGCATTATGCCGGGGCGCTCACCCGGCATAATGCTGTGACTAGCACTGTACATTAGTTATATGCAAGTGAGAGACAAAGGTAGTATGGAAACCTTTATTAGTATATGATACTTGGCTTGGACACCATATTGTATCAGTCCTTTTCTTTTATTAGTTATATATTGTACCGTGTCATTCGTCTTTATAAAAGTATGATAATGAATTTAACAGGAATAAGTGATCATTATAAACTTGTCAACAATGATTTATTTTGGTCGAAATTATTAATGTTGAGGATGTTTTGTGTGGCAGCATATTCCCCTCTTGTTTATTAATATTCTTGTCGACGTCACCTGGTGAGTGGCAGACATGTCCACACCCAGCATGTTTGTTCTGTCCGTAATATGATGAGCACTCACCCCTCTGCTCCTCGCCCCTAACTTAGCCCCCTTCCCTCCCCTCTCTTCCCTTCCTCTCCCTTTCTCAAACTAGATAATAGATATCTTAATAATATAATATAATATCTTTATTTTTACATGTACAAGGTATACAGGCCTAGCTGACATCAATGACATACTGCTATATAGAATGCCGCTTGTTATGCAGGGTATTTCGGGCCAATTAGGTCAGTTTTGTCCTAGGATGCGACCCACACCAGTCGACTAACTTCCAGGTTCCCATTTTACTGTTGGGGAACATAGACAATCGGTGTAGGAAAAAAAAATCCAAATGTTTCTACCCTCGCTTGCTAATCGAACCCAGACACTTGCCGTGTGAAACGAGAGTCCATTTCTCATGTGCGTGGGATAAACTATCTCGAGAGATGGTAATTACCCAGTGACCAACTCCAGCTACATTGGACGGAAACAATCAAGCTCCTGTAGCTGATGAACCTTTAATGGGATATTTGACGATATCTTGTCGCACTGAAGTCTTCCAGTTCTGACTGACATATTTTAACACTGAATCTCATCCTGCTAATTTTTATTCCCCATATGTAACTGTCATATAGAGTAGGATAGCAGCACACTGATAATGTATACAGTTTTGCTAAATACAAATAAGAATCTCACACCAAGGGTTGACACGTACTCGACCTGCCCTCACAAGTGGCCGCCACTTAAACCCTTGTTATGGCGCGCGCTCCCTGTTTATTTTCACCCTGTGTTGGTATAGGCTAGTGCCTGTGCTTGGCCCTGATTCACTCGCGTTATTATCACTGTCACTTTATTGTCCTACCACCTGATTGTTTTTGTTTTAATACTATATTTGTGTGTTAATGCAGTTAATGACATCCATGATGGGTGAAGGAAAGTCCTGGATTAATTCTGCTCACACAAAGGCTTTAACATGTGGGTAGGTGGCAGGTGGCCACGACACCTGCCTAGGGAGTACTATCTTCTTATTGCTATTAATACAACAGAAATCCTTGTGGCGTTGTGCTCATAAAATAAACCCAGTGAGGAGCAGGGGTATGGTGGGCACAGTAAGGAAACACTGTATCAACATTCGTGGCCCCAGACTATTCAACATCTAACCAGAAGATATCAGAAACACTGCTGGAACAATTGTAGAAGTCTTCAAGAGAAAACTGGACAAGTATCTTCACCAGGTGCCAGATCAACCAGGCTGTGATGGATATGTGGGGCACCGGGCCTCCAGCAGCAACAGCCTGGTTGACCAGGCAAGCACCAGACGAGGCTGGCCCATGGCCAGGCTCCGAGAGTGGTAAGACTCGAAACTCATCAAAGGTAAAGGTACGATTGTTGCGTTTATCTTCCTCTCTCACGTTATTATATATCGTTATGTAAATCTCGTTATGCAATCCCGCACCTCCTCCTAACTTCCAAACTACGAATTCTCTGCATTATATTCACACCACACAATGCCCTCAGACATTACAGATGTTATTCCTCCTTGCCCTATACACGAAATCACAGCTTCCCTATCTTCATCAACATTCAACAATTCCTCAAAATATTCCCTCCATCTTCCCAACACCTCTAACTCTCCATTTAATATATATATATATAATATATATATATATATATTATATATATATATATATATATATATATAAATATATATATATATATATATGTATATATATATGATCATTAACACGTTAATTTGAATCATTCATAATAGTAAAAAAAAATAGTAGTAATAGTGTTAAGCTTAGTGTGGTAAGAGGAAGTAGTAATATACCTTCAGTGTCAACCTGCAACACCCCTGCAGCCAAGGTATGTCGGGCTTTTTAGTTTAGTTAATTTTTATATACTATCAACTCTCTTTCTTGATTTATTATGTTTGTACAGTGAGAGGTGTGGTCTGGTATTTAGTACCTCTCCAACAGAAATATTTTACAAGCATTGTAATCCCTTGATGACCTCTCATCCAGAAGATTAAAATATGTCATTAGATAACTGGCAAACTTTTTTTTTTAAATAAGTAGAACAGTACAGATGGGAACTAGCAGATCCATCCATTACCCACCATAAAAAAATGTGTCGTCAAACATGTCCATGGAGGAATATCAGTTGACTACAATACGTTGTTATTGGTAGAATGTAGGTTTCTCTGGCATTACAGTTTGTCTGGACACGTCAATAACATGACAACATGACGTATGTGGACAGAGACAAGACCATACACTACAACATTATATTTTAGAATATCCAAACACCCGTTTACACACGACCAAATAAACTTATAGAAAATGGCAAATCTCTTCATTATCTGAAATCTTAAGATTTTATCCACGTTTTGCACTGGCTAGGTACATAAACTTATTTGGTGAAATTGTTACCTAGTAAAAGACCTGTGTTTTAAGTGGTATTGATAAAATGCTTCAATTTTCATAAGATATATACATATTGTTTTGGGTATATTAGCTATGTGAAGAAACTCCAGTGTAAGAAATTACCGCAATATCACCAAAGATAAAATGATTCCCAGTGAGGTCTGACAAAGACCCATTGTGCTCCCTGTAACCCTGTTCTTTTGCGCAACCGCTCACAGGATGAGTCGAAGGTGCAAAATAAACAAGATGGACAGTCGGCACCACTTCAAGTAAGTGACTTCTGCAGCAGCTAACCTTCACTTGTGCTTGCTTAGTGTACAACAGCTTCTGTGTACTCTCGAGTTACTCGTACTTCTGACTTCCTTAATGTTTCACATACTCATAATTCTGGAAGATCTTCGATCACCAGTACTGGGAAGACGGAGAGTCCTGTGTTTTCGTGCTTTGTCCAGCATCTCCGTAGTCTTCCTCAGCCTCTGTTTGTCCTCTTGTCAAAATATTGCTTATTTTTTACATGAGTCTTCCTATTTGTTTCTAATACTAACAGGCCCGTGTAAACTTGTATATCAGTGTGTTGTTCTCTACCGTGGTCTTTGCCGTCTCAGAGATGGACATGGTATGCTATGTAGCTACTTTAATATAACATATTACTCGTAAATATCAGTGGATCCCTGAAACATTGTTCACCTCTTGCCTTTTACTGCTCCTAATGTGTTGATGTTGAGGACTTGACGCTGCTTACAATTATGTGGGTTCATCTGTTTTCACTCCCGTTACTGATAACCTTACTGACCACGACTCACAATTAACATTTTATTATACCGTACTTATCCTCTACATCTCCATCCTTATTGAACTCATTACTATGATCATGTTCCTACATCTCCATTCTCTATTAGCTCATTACAATGCTAATCTGGTTGTGGTGTCATGTTTGTGCCTCCTGGTAACTCTCTCTCTCTTATAATTTACAAGTTAAGGATTCTTAACTTTATTGACAAGCTAAGAGCTGGTACCTACATCATCTCATTTGAAAGCATTTGTATTGTTATGAAACATGCCAGTAGGAAACAGGATGAAGGTGGAGCCATCTGTGGGCCAGCATTTTCATTTGATTAACTGACTTGATCTCGTTGACATCATAATGCTGTAAGAATGTATAGCGCGCGCGCGCGCACACACACACACACACACACACACACACACACACACACACACACACACACACACACACACACACACACACACACACACACACACACACACACACAGAAGTGTCCTTGTTTGCGGATGATGTGAAGTTAATGAGAAGAATCAAATCGGATGAGGGTCAGGCAGGACTACAAAGAGACCTGGACAGGCTACAAGCCTGGTCCAGCAACTGGCTCCTTGAGTTTAACCCTGCCAAATGCAAAGTCATGAAGATTGGGGAAGGGCAAAGAAGACCGCAGACACAATATAGTTTAGATGGCCGAAGTCTGCAAACCTCACTCAAGGAAAAAGATCTGGGGGTGAGTATAACACCGAGCATATCTCCTGAGGCGCACATCAATCAGATAACTGCTGCAGCATACGGGCGCCTGGCAAACCTACGGATAGCGTTCCGATACCTCAGTAAGGATTCGTTAAGACTCCGTATACCATTTATGTCAGGCCCATACTGGAGTATGCAGCACCAGTTTGGAATCCACACCTAGTCAAGCACGTCAAGAAATTAGAGAAAGTGCAAAGGTTTGCAACAAGACTAGTCCCAGAGCTACGGGGATTGTCCTACGAAGAAAGGTTGAGGGAAATCGGCCTGACGACACTGGAGGCCAGGAGGGTCAGAGGAGACATGATAACGACATATAAAATACTATGCGGAATAGACGAGGTGGACAAAGACGGGATGTTCCAGAGATGGGACACAGACACAAGCGGTCACAATTGGAAGTTGAAGACTCAGATGAATCAAAGGGATGTTAGGAAGTATTTCTTCAGTCATAGAGTAGTCAAGCCGTGGAATAGCCTAGAAAGTGAAGTAGTGGAGGCGGGAACCATACATAGTTTTAAGGCGAGGTATGATAAAGCTCATGGAGCAGGGAGAGAGAGGATCTAGTAGCAATCAGTGGAGAGGCGGGGCCAGGAGCTATGACTCGACCCCTGCAACCACAAATAGGTGAGCCGCACACACACACACACACACACACACACACACACACACACACACACACACACACACACACACACACACACACACACACACACACACTCACTCACACACACGAGATAACGTATAAAATACTGAGAGGCATTGACAAGGTGGACAAGGATCGAATGTTTCAGAGATGGGATACAGAAACAAGGAGACACAATTGGAAGCTGAAAACCCAGATGAGCCATAGGGATGTTAGGAAGTATTTATTTAGTCTTAGAGTTGTCAGGAATTGGAATAATCTGGAGAGTGAAGTAGTGGAAGCAAGTTCCATAAATAGCTTTAAGAAGAGGTATGACAAAGATCATGGAGAAGGGAGAGGGTGAATTAGTGTGGAAATGGGTTCGTGGAGATGTGATGGTCGAAGTTAAACACAATCGTTGGATGTTAACACATGTATTAGCAGAGTGTGAGAGGGAGGAGACCAGCCTGTCTGTTACTGCTTGGTAGGTCTACGGGAACTGAGGCCTAGGGAGAGCATCCCACGCACTCATGCCGCATCACGTGACGTCACACAAACTAGTCACTGGGCCTAGCAAGGGGTCGTGTATTTATTTATTTATTTATTTATTTAAAAATTTGAGCACACATACAGAGGTACAACAAATACAGGTAAGAGCAGTATGCCAAAGCCACTTATACTATGCATAGCATTACGGGCTGGCTTAAAATTAACTTAAGATTAACTAAGCAATGATGAAATCAGTGATAAAACATTAATGTAAACAGGTTACTATAAAGCACAAGTGAGTATTACAAAGACAGGTCATAGGGTCGTGTATGTAAAACATATGGATACTATGATACTCAGATAACATATATATGTACAAGGGATCAGCAACTATGCTGACATTAGTATCGACCAGTGAAGAGACAGGGCCAGGAGCTATGAATCGACCCCTGCAACCACATATAGGTGAGTACACACACACACAAACCCTGTACATCGTGTACGTTAGACCCATTTTGGGGTATGCGGCACCAGTTTGGAACCCGCAAGTAAAGAAACTAGAGAAAGTGCAAAGGTTTGCAACAAGACTAGTCCCAGAGCTAAGAGGTATGTCCTACGAGGAGAGGTTGAGGTAAATCAACCTGCCGACACTGGAGGACAGGCGAGATAGGGGGGACATGATAACGACATACAAAATACTGAGAGGAATTGACAAGGTGGACAAAGACGGGATGTTCCAGAGATGGGACACAGCAACAAGGGGACACAGTTGGAAGTTGAAGACACAGATGAATCACAGGGATGTTAGGAAGTATTTCTTCAGCTACAGAGTAGTCAGGAAGTGGAATAGTTTGGTAAGCGATGTAGTGGAGGCAGGATCCATACATAGCTTTAAGCAGAGGTATGATAAAGCTCACGGTTCAGGGAGAGTGACCTAGTAGCGACCAGTGAAGAGGCGGGGCCAGGAGCTTGGACTCGAACCCTGCAACCTCATCTAGGTGAGTACACACACACACACACACACACACACACACACACACACACACACACACACACACACACACACACACACACACACACACACACACACACACACGCACACACTCACACTCACACATGGGCGCCTTGCAAACCTAAGAACAGCATTCCGCCATCTTAATAAGGAATCGTTCAGGATCCTGTACACTGTGTACGTTAGGCCCATATTGGAGTATGCGGCACCAGTTTGGAACCCACATGTAACCAAGCACGTAAGGAAACTAGAGAAAGTGCAAAGGTTTGCAACAAGACTAGTCCCAGAGCTAATGGGTCTGTCCTACGAGGAGAGGTTAAGGGAAATCGACCTCACGACACTGGAGGACAGGAGAGATAGGGGGAACATGATAACAACATATAAAATACTGAGAGGCATTAACAAGGTGGACAGAGAATGTTCCAGAGATGGGACACAGCAACAAGGGGACCCAGTTGGAAGTTGAAGACACAGATGAATCACAGGGATGTTAGGAAGTATTTCTTCAGTCACAGAGTAGTCAGGAAGTGGAATAGTTTGGGAAGCGATGTAGTGGAGGCAGGATCCATTCATAGCTTTAAGCAGAGGTATGATAATGCTCATGGTGCAGGGAGAGTGGCCCAGTAGCGGCCAGAGAAGAAGCGGGTCCAGGAGCTATGACTCGACCCCTGCAACCACAACTAGCTGAGTACACCCACGCACGCAAGCTCTCTCACACACACACAGAGAGAGAGAGAGAGAGGAAACAACGAGTGATGGTACGTGACGAGGTGTCCGAGTGGGCGCCTGTGACGAGCGAGGTTCCACAAGGGTCAGTCCTAGGGCCGGTGCTGTTTCTGGTATGTGTGAATGACATGACGGAAGAGATAGATTCAGAGGTGTCCCTGTTTGCAGACGATGTGAAGCTAATGCGATGAATTCAAATGGATGAGGATCAAGTAGGACTATAAAGGGATCTGGATAGGCTTGAAGTCTGGTCCAACAATTGGCTCCTGAAGATGATGAAGATTAGGGAGGGTCAGAGAAGACCGCAGACAGAGTACAGGCTAGGGGGGCCAAGGACTGCAAACCTCAGTCAATGAAAAGGATCTTGGGATGAGCATAATACTGTGCTCATCTCCTGAGGCGCACATCAACCGAATAACTACTGCGGCTTATATGTGCCTGGCAAGTCTGAGAATAGCGTTTCGACACCTGAGTGAGGAATCATTTAAGACTGTACGTTAGACCCGTATTGGAGTATGCATCACCAGTATGGAACCCACCTCTGGTTAAGCACGTAAAGAAATTAGAGAAAGTGCAAAGGTTTGCAACAAGACTAGTCCCGGAGCTAAGGGGTATGTCCTTCGAGGAGTCGTTAAGGGAAATCAACCTGACGACACTGGAGGACAGGAGGGATAGGGAGGACATGACAGCGGCGTATAAAATACTGAGAAGAATTGACAAGGTGGATAGGGACAGAATGTTCAAGAGATGTGACACAGCACCAAGGGGGTCACAACTAGTTGGAAGGTGAAGACTCGTATGAGTCACAGGGATGTTAGGAAGTATTTCTTCAGCCATAGAGTTATCAGGATGTGGAACAGTCTGGAGAGTGATGTAATGGAGACAG